GTGTCTTGAGACTTGTAGAAGACCAACGGATTATTGTCTGTTATCCATCGGAACTGGCGTCGACCGAGGAGGGAGTGCCGCCACCGCTTGAGTGCGTGGAAGAAGGCGAGAAGTTCCTTCTTGCGTGCATCATCGATGGAGTGCACGGCCGACACTTTCTTGCTGAAGTATTCGAGCGGGTGCCAGTCCACGCCGTCATGTTGCTCGAGGACAGCACCAATGCCATAGCCGGATGCGTCCGTGGTGACGCGTATTGGCAATAGCGGGTCGTATATCCGCAATACCTCCGCGGAAAGCAATGCGGCCTTGAGGCCCAAGAATGATTCCCGTGCGGCCGTCCCGAAGTCAAACGATCGGTCCTCGCATTGAAGCTTGGTTAAGTGAGCCGTGATCTTCGCCTTTGATGAAACGTTGGTAGTAGCCGGCGAGGCCAAGGAATGATCGGACATCCGTGACGTTCCGTGGCTCCGGCCAATCTTGGACGGCTTGAATCTTGTCCGACAACGGACTGATGCCTTGTGGAGTGACGAAGTGGCCCACGTATTCCAACTCTTGACGTACGAACTCGCACTTGTCGCGGTTGGCTTTGAACTTGGCGCGCCGGAGTGTCTCCAACACTCGCCGAAGATGGTCAAGATGTTCCTCCAAGGTTCGGCTATAGACGAGGATGTCGTCCAAGTAGACCAGCATGAACCGGTCCAACGTTGCCCGGAACTCGTTGGTCATCGCCGCTTGAAAAGTCACCGGGGCGTTGGTGAGTCCAAAAGGCATAACAACCCACTCGAAGTGCCCGTACCGTGTCTTGAACGCGGTCTTGTAGYGATCTTGCGGCCGAATCGAGATCTGATGATATCCCGACTTCAAATCCAGCTTACAAAAGAAATTTGCGCCGCCCAAGCGCTCCAGAAGGTTGTCAGTACGAGGAAGAGGTCCTGCGTTCTTGACGGTTTGCGCATTGAGCTTGCGGTAATCGATGCATAGGCGAAGGTCCTTGTTCTTCTTCCGAACGAAGAGAACTGGCGCACCATAGGGTGAGCTACTAGRMCGGATCCAGCCTTTTTCCAACAAGTCGTGGAGCTGCGCGCGGAGTACTGTAAGTTCCTCCTCGCTCATGCGATAAATGCATCCTTTCGGCGGCACGACACCGGCCTCAAGAATGATCTCGTGTGAGATCGGCCGATCCGGCACGAGGCCGGTAGGTGACTCGAAGACGTCGGCAAATTCGTCGAGCAACCGCACCACCCCGGGGTCTGAAGACAAGTCCGTAGGTTGAGAGTCCGCTACCGCGACGGTTCGGAGAAAACATAAGCCGATCTCTTYGGTCCGCTCGTAAGCACAAGTGGCCCGAAAAGACTTGGCGGTTACAACTTGGCACCGGATCGAAGGGKGCGGAGGAGGAATGGTACATGGTACTTCGGCGCCGAACGCGTCGCGAACCGTAAGTGTCCGCCGATGGAAGTTGACCGTGTGATCCGCACTTGCAAGCCAAGGCATGCCCAAGATGATGTCGAAGTCCGTGTCCAAGACGTCGAACGTCACCGGTTCGCATGCATGAGGTGCGAAGTAAACCGGGACGGCTTCGATGTAGCGATCAAGGAGYTGTTGCGTTCGACCGTCCTCCAACTTGATCGATGTAGGGTGTGCCTTCCTTCGAACTTGTGGTCCAAGGCCGACCCTTTGCATGAAGGACTGGCTGATGAAGTTGTGAGTCGCGCCGCTATCCAGCAAAGCGCTGCAGGACGCTTGCCCGATTTGGATGCGGACATAAAGGAGCAGTGCGTTGTTGTTGTCGTACCACTGCGTGCGAAACTCRCRCGCCACCTTGCTCACATACGCAAGAATGTCCCCCACCGCGACCTCGTCCTCCGTAGGCGAAGTTGGTGGTGCATAGAAGGCTAGGTATGTATGTAAATGAGCGCGAAGAGCTGCGCATTGCGGCTCCGGTAAGCAGCCGGTGGAAGGGAGAGGAAGCCATGCAAAATCCTCGGGCGTTAACGGATCCCAGTCCTCAATGTTGAACGCGCGCGCCGAATCCAGTGAAGGTCCACTTGAAGACGAATCAATGCTGCTGCTTCCGATCGGAGAAGAGACCGCACATACATCCTGTCCTTGGGCTCGTGAATCCAGCGAA